TAATTGAGTGGGAACTGAAATGGTAGGATGTGGCTGGAGGAGGTGGGAATTGGGGAACGTAGCTGTGGGGTATATATTTGTATCTGGCAAGTGGAGACTTCTCTCTCTGCTTTCTGATCATCATGTGAGCTGCTTCCCTCTCTCTCCCATGATGTTCAGCCTCACCTTAAGCCCTGAGGAATAGAGCTGGCCTTCTATGGACTGTGGAGCCTCCACATAAACTTTTCCTCCCCTAAAATTGTTCTGGTCAGATCTTTTAGTCCCAGAAGCAAAAAAACTGACTAAAAAACCACCTCTGCTTGGAGCCAGCTACAGGCTCGGTGTTACAAGTAATAAAGAAACTTGTTTGGCTTAGAATATTCTAGGCACAAGTCTAAAATTGCCTGAGATATTTTGAAGCGACTCCCCTAGTCTCTGTTGTTAATGGACTATGGATTATTATGGAAGTAGAAAAACATGGAGGGAACTTAGAGAAGCTATACATYGGAGCTTAGAAAGTAGTTGTGAAAGTTCTTATTCTCTGACCATCATAAAATAGATTAGTTGTCTTCAAGCAGAAACACATAGACTTTCCAAGGAGCTATAAAAGTACAGGAAGTCCTGCATTAATACGGATTTTTGTTGAAGATGAAACAGTGATAGAAATACAACAYGTTGGCTCATGTTATAATGCTTTCAGTTCATACATATAGTGACATATGGTGACAGAAATAGAGATCATTTTTAATGTAGTTCACCTCCTCATTCTATAAAATTGTCAAAGAATGCATCCCTCAGTAGATGGGGTAGAGAGAGAAGATGGGAGGGGAGGGGAGGGAAGGGGGATAGTAGAGGATAGGAAAGGCAGCAGAATACAACAGTCACTAGTATGGCAATATGTAAATCAGTGGATGTGTAACCGATGTGATTCTGCAATCTGTATACCGGGTAAAAATGGGAGTTCATAACCACTTGAATCAAAGTGTGAAATATGATATGTCAAGAACTATGTAATGTTTTGAACAACCAATAATAAAAATTAAAAAAAAAGAATGCATCCCTCTTGAGTGAAAGTCCAGTAAGAGCAGAGCATCAATAAGGACTATTGGATATAATACTCCCCTTTATCCATAGTTTCACTTTCTATAGTTTCAGTTACCCCTGTTCATGTTAGTGGAAAATTCCAGAGAGAAGCATTTCATAAGTTTTAAATTGTATGCCTTTCTAAGTAGCATAATGAAATCTTTCACTCTTCCACTTTGTCCCTCCTGGGACATCAACTATCCCTTGGACAAATGCATCTATGTTGTATATACTACCTCCCATTAGTCACTTAGCATCCATCTTATTATCTAATTTTCTATTATGGTATCACAGTGCTTGTGTTTGAGAAGCTCTTATTTTACTTAATAATGATCCTAAAGCTTAAGAGTGTAGCAATGCATATTTGCCAAAAGAGAAGCCCTTAAGTGCTTCTTTTAAGTAAAAAGTAGAAATTCTTGACTTGAGGGAAAAAAAAGATTACATGCTGAGTTTGCTAAGACCCATGGTATGAATGAATCTTCTATCTGTAAAATGTGAAGAGGGAAAAGCCGATTTGTGCTAGTTTTGTTTTCACACCTCAAACAGCAGAAAGTACAATGAATGTTTATTGAGACAAAAAGGCATTTTATTGGTWTAGGTCTGTATATGTGATGGTAATTCTCTTCAAAAAATTTTAATACCTAGAGGCTTATCATCACAGGAAAAATAAACAAATTCTAAAATATCATATACACATATGTTACATACTTCTATGTATATGCTTTACATATACATATATATACATAAGTGTGTGTATATGTGTGTATGTGATTGTTAAGAGATTTTACAGTAAGAAAATATTACATTAGAAATCACTTTGGAGAGGAAATTGGATTAGAAATGAAAATTCAAGGAGAAAAAGGAAGATGTGACTATTCTGAGGATTAAAAATGTCACGTATTTTTAAAACAGCCAATGATCAGCACCAAATCATAGCATTTAGAGTCCGCTGCATACATCTAAGAGAGCAAGTTGAGTTCTGTATTTGAATGGTAATGTGTACACTAGGCAGAAATCATTTTTTAAAAATATTTAAATTTACCCAAAAAAAATGAGATATCAGTTTTTTAAATCTGCATATTAGCACAGAATGTTTCAAATGCCTTTCAGGTAGAAAGGGAGCCAAAGAATTTGAAGACACAGGTGGAAGGATTTCCTGATAAACAATCTCTCAGGTCCCTGTGAGGTAGACCAGACCTGAGTTGGTCCAGCTTCTGCAAACTGAGCTGCCTTATTTCCTGAAACTCCAAGAAGCTTGACTGTTTAAGCTGGGCGGGGGCGGCGGGGGCTGGGGGAGGGGGGGACCTGAAAACAGGACCTGACTAGAAGATATGAGCAACATATTGGCAATGTATCCATGTTTGTTTCTTGGTAACAGAATTAGGAATGATTTTTCAAACTTTCTTTATTTTTATAATATTGTTTTCTAACATGACTACATATTGTTTCAAAATAAGAAAAACATTGTTTTTGAAGAATAAAAGCTGCAGAACTCACAGGAAAGCTCACCTCAGAGACATTAACTTCTGTTGTCTTGTCAGCCCTGTGACAGGAGCCATGGGTAGTAAGAGAATGTGGGCTTCTCTAGGAGTYAACACAAAGCTCACGCCCATTTGAGACTGTTTTTACCTCGCTGCCCAAATGTGTTAAAGAATAGAATATTTGTTTTAATGCTTGATGGCTGGCAAGAAAGAAACATACTGGTTTTTGATTTGCATTTGTAAAAGGCTGTTTTATTTAAAGAGAGGAGGGAAGGAAGAAAGGAAGGAAGGAAGGAAGGAAGGAAGGAAGGAAGGAAGGAAGGAAGGAAGGAAGGAAAGAAGGAAGGAAGGGAGGGAGGGAGGAACAGACGGATAAACTTGCTTTCCTTCTTTGTGTATTATAAGGACCCTTAAGTCGGGTTCCTAAGTTGAAAAAACTGGTGCTTGCCAAGTACTAGGAATACTTTTTAAAATACTCTAAAAACTACTGCCCTCTTTAAACAGTAAACTAACTTAATTTTTGAAAATGACTTTTAAAGACATTAGGAATAACAACTAAAAAGATTTATGTTTTCAGAATTATCTCTTCTTCTGCCTTAACACTCACTGAAGTAGAGTGTAAGACCTCTAAACAACTGCTAAAAGACAGTGAAACTAACAGAGCAAGGTGGAGTGGAGAAAAAGTGCCTCAGCATACATACATCACACTTAAAAGAGCAGGAAAAAAGTGTGATGAGTCAGTGATAGAATGAGCAGATCTCCTAATACTCATAATCCTATGGAGACCTCCACTTTCTGCAAGGCATTTAGGGACCGCAGGGAGTTCACATTCTAGTTGTGATTCTTCCCACTTTTGAGCCTAGCCTGCTCTTCACTCCACGGGGTCACGTATAATATTAGTGACTCCACAAAGATCTTTTCTCTCCCATTAGATTGTAAACTAATAGAGGGCAGGATTGCTGACTGAATTGTCTACATGTGTTTTACATCTCCATCCTCATGTAAAACAGAAGTTGAAAAGATGTAGGCAAGTGAAACGTTCATCAGATTTCAAAGAAATTACATTAATTTGAATCTGCAGTTCTTTGAATCACTGAGTCCTAGGAGTTTAATGAAAAGTGCAAAACAAAAAATTGTACTATTCCAAAGGAGGGAAAAGATCATTCACTTGTCCTGCACTCTTAGGTGCCAGATAGCTAGAGGGAAAACACCTGCCTTCATCCTGGAAGTCAAGCACATTCTAAGTGTTTCTATCGCCATTCACATTTTCCCCTCCTTCCTGGAGAGATAGGACCTAGATAGATGGACAAATGTCATCCCATAGAGCAATGTAAAACCATTTTTCAGTGGCATCAAGAAGCTTCTCAAGAGAGCCTGGGCTTCAGTCTCCCAAGGTATAGAGTATAGAAACAAGTTTTCTTCACAACATATAGCATAGAAAGAAAAAAAGATCATTATTTACTGTGTAAAACACTGAAACTGATACATCAGAGCTGATTCCAAGCTGCATATAGCTTAGTAAGGCGGAATACTCATCTTAAACAATGGCAATGCATGATAGAATAGGAACACTGTAAGATAGGTCAGATAACCCACAGAGGGAGTTTAGAAGTGTGCCAGGGGATTCTTTGGAGGTAAGAATCTGAACTTTAATCCTCTCCAAATACAGCACAGAGCACAGGAACAATGGCAGTATCTGATACCATTTCTCTCTTCAGATGCCTTCTATTAAGAGACTGCTTAAAATTCTCTCTAATTGCCTGCTTATTCATATCTACAAGTATTTTTTCTTCTGTTTTTGCCATTACCCTAACCTAAAATATCTTTTCCCTCATTCTCTGCCTTCCAAAATCTATTTATTCTGCCATATACAGGTGAAATTCCATCTTGTATGTAAATTTGCTGCAACCTGGTAGGAACTAAGTATTGCTTTCTCAGAACCTCTATGCACGTTGCTTACAACTCTACCTAGCAGCTGCATTTTTCTTTACACTTATGCATGTACACATTATCTTTCAAGTCCAAGTGTGACTTCTTTAAGCAGATTCATTTATTTTCATTGTGCTCTGAACATAAAAACAGTGCTTCAAAGGAGAAAGAATCTGAGTCTTATAGTGCAGCACACCTGTATTCTGATCCCAGCTCTGTCATTTACAACTTGTTAAGCCTAGGCCTTACTTTTCTATGCTTCTATTTCTCCATCTGGACAGGAACCAATAATATCTTCTCCAGGCTGTGATAATGTTGAGAAATGAAAAATGTAAGATGATGTCTGGTAGATTTAATCATTATTAAAGGATAGCAATCCTAACTTTTACTATAATAATTATAAGGAGTTTTGTTGAATAAAAATATAAAATTACCTAGTATGTACAGTAACTAGCACATCATGGAAGCTTATAAATACATCTTGACTTCAATTTAAAGAGGATGAAATCCCTGCTGCTAAAGACCTACCTTGAACTCTTTCTCAATGTTGGCCAGCACTGCCAGCTCATTGCTAAGTTCTAAAGCCGTCATCACTGGATCTTCACTAGACAATGACAGGTAAGCTGGACTTGCCAGGCCTTTATAGGCATTAATCCTAGATCTGGAGTGGCTAAAGGAGTCATGCTTTTGTTTCTGGTTGCATTCGCTGCACTTGCAGAAATAATCATGAGGCCGTTCAATCCGAGCACCCTTCCGCAGGAGAGTGTGCACAATTTCATATTCCTGGCAGTGAGCAGCCAGAATGATTGGAGTCACGTCATGGGAGAACCGTGTCCCATCTTCATCATAGGCATAAAAATCATCTTGCTGCAGTTCAGACTGGCTAGGGCTTGTGGCTAACCTCTTGCCTTCAGCAAAAGCCGGATGACTGAGAATTGCCTCCACAATCCGAACATAACCTTTACTAATAGCTAGAAGCAAAGCATCCCCAACCCGAGAGAGGTTTTCTTTCCTGAGAAGCAGCTCTGTAATTTCCAGGTGCTCATTGGCCACTGCCAATTGCAGGGCATTCTGGCCCATGTAATCTACACAGTTAACATTGAGGGAGACACATTCTTCTAACATCTTCCGCACCACTGGAATGTTGCCATATTCAGCTGCATCTAAAAAGCGTTCCTCCTCGATAGATAGGCTTGTTGAGCGGTCATTAAACATGTATGCAGGTCCTCGATTAGCTAACCTTCTCCCCTTTTCACGAAGAACCGTCTGCCGCCGGTGAGTCAGTCTATTGTCAGTGCCCCGGCTGCAATAAACGAGAAAGATTGTGAACAAATCATATTAAGAGCATTTTAGTGTGCCAAATGACGTGCCAGTCATCTAATGCAATCCTCAATATATTAGATGTTATCTCATCATCTCTAGACTTACTATATTATAAAATGAAGATGCATTTGTTTGTTAATGGATTCCAAGAACTTTTTAAAAAACACCAATCTCTTTACAGATTTTAACATTTCAATCTGGGGTGGAGACTGGAAACTGCCATAATTTTTCCATATCATTCATATAGAGATTAATATGCGTTTCTCAATCACAGGTGGTAAAGACTTAGGAAATAACTCTTTTTCCCATAATCAGTCACCAATATGAGAGAGTGAGAAACAACCTTTTAAAAGTAAAGGTAATAATGTAAACTTTTCAAATCAAATATGAAAAATAATGATTTTCTATTTCTCAGATGATTTTATTTTCTTCTTTCAGAGTTCTGTTTCGGAAACTCTTTTTATTTTAATGGTGAGCATTCCAAAGTTGTCCTTTAATTTTCTCATCTTTTCTCTCCTATTCTAATGATTTATCTTTTTTGCATTCTATTGTGGGAGATTTCTGCAACTTTATCCTCTAATATACCTAAAGAATTTTTTTCTGCTGTTTTATTTTTAATTTTCAAAAACATCTTCTTTTTCTTTAAATTTTTCATTTTGTAACACTTCTCTGTTACCAAAAGTACAATCCATTTTCTTATCTCTGGGGTCATGGTCAAAACTGTCTAAGCAGGACACATTTCAGAGAACTTACTCCCAAGTTGCTTTTTTATATTTGTTTACTTTGGTCTCTGTATTTTACATCAGAGTTTTCCCACAAATTGCTGTTGATCCTTAATAGACACTCATTTCCACTTTTTAAAGAAATACTTCTTCCAATGCAATTTCTAAGAGTGCCGTTTTCCCTTAGGAGAGCTAGGCTGAACCTAATGTTGATTTTGGCAAGAGGTGATCCTGAGTTGGAGGGGAGTTTCTAGAAGAGCAGCATTATTTCTGAGTTAACAGGACAGATGAGGCAGAAAAGACACAAGGTTAGTTACATGAGCAGCCACCTGTCACCATCCTGCTGAAATTCTTAGCCCTCTTTCCTTCTCTGTCACCTTTATGGCTTCTGATGGCATCTTTAGCCTTCCACTTTCTCTCTTCTGCATTTATTATTTTACATAGTTTCTGCGGCAGAAAAGAGAAAGTTCAAAGATTAGGGGAAGAAAAAGTGTCAGGTGAACATGGACAGTGCTTTAAAAAAGAAAAAATATATAAAACTAAGGAAGAAATGTACCAGGATCAGGGGATTCATAAGAATAGAGTGATGTACTGGGAGTGCAAACTTTCAAGGAAAGTTCTCAAGTAGCTAGAAGACAGAACCAAAGATGTGACAGAAAATAGTTCCAAGTACCAAGAGATCAAGGATCAAGCCTCTCTTTTGTTCATTTTGTCTGTTAAAATTGGAGATAAAATATTCTAACCTATCTCAAATAATTATTTTCAGAGTCAACTGGAGTTATGAATGTGGAAAGTCCTTAAACTYGGATTGTATTGACTTTTATGCCCACAGAAAAATGTATTTTTGAGAGAGATGCCTGGACTTATCATTACTTATCTGTTTTTGATCAGAAGACCCATGAAAAAGTCAAGAACTGTGATGGAAATTGGTGTAAGTGACCTTTGTCTCTTTAAGGAAATAAAAAATATTATCAGTAACTTTACTTGTATCTCAATTCCTTTTTTAAATTCTGGTTTCCACAGGTTTATTTGTTCATGTGATACATCTAAATTTACACTGAACTAGAATAAGCTGGAGTTGCGACATCTCAAATTCTAAAAATTTGAAATAATGCTTTTTTATTCTAATTATCATTTATTTGAGGGCAGGGGGCAAATTCTATCTTTACAAGCTAATATTCCTGAGAACATGTCCTCTTTCCTTCTACATGATTATGGTTTCCATTCTTATTGTGTTCATGCCATAACTACCATCCTCTTAAAGGAACAGCAAAGACATTTCCATAGAGAGGGAAAATTATCGTCAGTCTTAAAATATCTCCTGTTTTGGTCATTGTGCCACAAATATTAATAAAATGGAATAACATAAATTTCAGATATATTTTTATTAAAAGGGCTGGATTATCATTGTTTCTTTAACACTCTCTCAATAGAAAATCCAGATACAGAATGTTTACATAAACATTTCTATTGCTTTGGAAAGATTTTTTTTTAAATGCATGCACAATGAAGTCAGTACCTATTGCATGGAGTAGAGAGAGAACATGGAGCCGCTTGTATGTTACGAGAATAATATGCCTTTTCTGCTGCTCTCCTGCTATTTCTTAACTGCAGTGTAGTGAAGCAACTAAAGACTTTTTTGTTTTGTTTTGTTGTTACAAGTGGTGTGAGAAAAACATCAGTACCATCTCCGGCTTTTAAATGCAAAAGCAAAATATGTAAAACAACTTCCTAAATAACAAACATTTGAAACCTTTCAAGAAAGATAATAAATATTAGTAGATTATATCACCTCTCTGAAAATTGATTTTATATAGCTATATTTTAGAATTATGCATTAATAGAGAAACAATCTATTAAAAAAATAGAACAACTCAGTTCACAGTACTATAGCAACAAAACAGATATTTCATTTCAGCTAAAGAACAATTTTTCCAAGTCAGTTCTTCTCTTTAAAAAAAAATTAAGAAATTTCCTTTATGTATTTAGCTATTTTTAGCATGGTTAAATGTTTAAAAGCCTACATTTTCCTGTTTGAAGTTTTCAATTTGTTTATCACAATATGTAAATACCAGTTCTAGGAAAATGTGTAATTAGACACTGCCCTGTGACACTCAAATATTGATTAGGTGATGAAAATCAAGCCTTTACCTACCTCATTTCCCTGATTGTTTTTGCAGGAAAAAATAGCTGCTGTTGCCCCAGATAGTGAGGGATGGAATAATCTATCTCTATCGAAAATGCCAGCCACACAAATTAGCTTCTGAGTAGATTGGACTGTGAGCTTGAGTCCAGAGCATGTGGAGTAATTTTCTCTACTTCCTGTTCAAATAYGATGCACTTTTATCAAATGGAATTGCTGTTGTTCAAACTAATCTCCACTATTAAGACCCAGCTTAGGCGGGAGGGAGATAGGAAGGTGAAAATCTTTAAGGTGAAAATAGAAACAAAATTGGAGAAAAAAATGAAAAAAAAAAAAGACCCAGCTTAACTTTTAATTTTTGTTTAAAAATCCTTGCAAATATTCTAATTAAAGCATGTTTCTACTGAGGCAGAAATATTAAAAATATAAATGGCATATAACTAAAATAACCATTCTAGGAAACATTGAAGACACAAGAATAGATTTTGTGGATTCATCCTAGGAAATCAGAAATTAAGGAAATCCCCAAATCTTTATTTTATTACATGCACAATTATCCATGGGAGAATTTGACTTGAATATTTAGAGTTCAACAATTATACAACTAGCAAGTTTGCAGACTACTTTAGCAGGGTGAATGAGAAAAGTACCTTTACTCTAATCTTATAACAGTAAACCTGTTTTAAACCTGTCAAGTTACTCTCTTACCACAAATCCCAAGCCTTTCTCTGGGATTGAGGAAGCAGTAGACAATTAAAGTGGTTTTCCTCAGTCCCATGAAAACAAAAAGTATTTTGCTGTATTCACAGAGAATTTACCACTCAGAGTGGCCCATGGCAAGCACTTAGTACCTAACTGTCATAAGCATGAATGGCTTCTGCGGAAGGAATAAAGTTCACAGTCTTTTCGTTCCCTATTAACCTGACCTCAAATCATTACAATGTACAACCCTACACAAAAAAGAAACAAAACATAAAGGTTGAATCATAGTGTGTCCTGGTAGATTATATGTAATATTTTGTATTCAGAAACATAAACAGAAAGCTCAGTAGGGAACACAGAAAGTTGAAAAGTATTRTTTTTTTTAATGTCATCCATGGAGATTTTCTTATCCTTAAAAGCAGAACTAATATTCTCCCCGCTGCCCTGATTTCTGCTTGTCCTTGACATTGCACATAGAGCATGACCACCCATCTTCACAATACACTACCAAATCCCTTTAACTTCCAGATAGCTTTCTAGATAGCAAAGTCTTCATTCTGACTTGATTAGCTTCAATTTTCCCCATGAATTCCTCTCATGTCATCACATCCCAACTTTCTGTTTGATCAGTCACCCTACATCACAGGCTGCCTCACTACTCCATGGGCTAAATGATAGGAGCCTGAGCTATTTGCTGCTTTCCGTGGGAGCTAGCAAAAGTGTGACTGAAAAATATCTTGTGCATGTTACAAATTTTGGTTGCTTGTTTTGATCATCAATTGACATCTTGTTTGTATAAAACAAAAGCCAAACTGTGAGAGAATGAGAACCTGAGTAAATAATGGCACAGTTATAGAAACTTGGCTTTTTATAAAACAACTATGTCTGAAATGTCATACTTCCTTTTTACCCTCCAATTTGCGTTTTAATTTATTTCATGTGTCATGTCTTTCTTCTTTAAAATGCTCCTCAGTAGAGTTATGGGCACAGGCATTTATTTTGATCTATTTTGATAGAGTACTCTTGGGAATATTAAAAAGTTTATGTGTAATACAAGCAAAATGTATTACAATTATCTCATCAAAGGAGGAAGTTTAAACCTTTGCTTCTATTATCAACAACTGTCAAAATCCTGTGTATTTTGCAAAAATATTTTCCTATTCCACAAATAACCTCTGTATGAGACAGACTCTGGGCAGGAAAAAAAAGATCACACATATGTGGCATTTAATGAAGGAAAAGAGTGTGTAGGCAGGAACTGGGAAAATCCAACATGGTGCCAATATGTAGGACAATATAGGTTTAGGCCTGAAGGGACATAAGGAAGGAGCAGTTATCAAAAGTTAAGCAAGGTCACTGTAAGCAAGGGCTACCTGACAGAGGCTCTGGCCTTTGACAGAGGATAACAGACCA